GAATTAATTCATTTGGTTAGTTAGTCAATTTAAACTATAAGTTTCCATTTTTTTGTCTTATTTCTTTTTTAAGTATGAGATAATAAGATACAAAGAAGTTGACTTATTTTTTTATTAAAATTTATATATTACATATTTAAATATAATTAAAAATAACACATATTAAATGTTATTATCCATATCATATATAATCAAATAGAATAATTTAACATATTTTAATCTCATGCAAAATTAGGTCAAATTCAGTTGAAGGGCCTGATTGAATTGAAACTGCATCTTCATGATTATGGCCCTCAACTTCAATCTTAGGATGATTATGGATCGAGTCATTTTTTAGTTGACTCAAATTTAGTATGAGTATTAAACTTTTTCGATATATGATTTGATTTGAGTTTAAGAACATCCAATCCAATTTAAAATCTGATCTGAATTTTATAATTAAAACTCGTACTCAACCTAACATAAATATAAAACATTATTATTTTTATTCAGTAAAATAAGAAATTAATTTAATTTTTTTAGAGAAAATGATATTATAATAATCATCTCTATATAGATGATAATTATATTATTATTTCGAGTCGCATCAAATTTTATTTACTTTAAATTTGAATATGACCGAGCTAAATCTCATTGCCATAAAACCGGACCCAATCCAAACTCAATTATTTTTAAGAAACAACTCTATAAAATCATATTCGAATTAAACTCTATAAGATGATAAGTTTGATGTCGTCACTTTACTTCAATTGTACCATTAAAATCGTTCAAACTTCCTTAATTCTATAATTTAACTTTCATTATCGTCCAATTGCGACCTTCGAAACTGTATATTTTCTTAAAAATAAGAAATAAAACTCATATAATTTATAATAATACTGTCCTAATAATATAATACATTGTTATTAAAAATTTTCGACCGACTGAATCTAAAGATCATTCGATAAATACATCCTTCCACAGAAATGTTGTTTAAGGAGCCAATAGTAATTCAACAAAATTATATTTTTATTAAATTTTCCTTTCAAAAAGAATTGGTCGTGTCTGAAATTTTCAACGAGACAGATTAATTCCAGCTTTGATTTTGTTTTGTTTTCTTTAGCTTTTTGGGATAATCCAAGAAGAGTCGTGTGCGACATGGAACCAAGTCACTGATTATTTTGATTAAATATAATACTAAAACCCCTTTAATTTATTTTATATTTTAAAAATAAATTTCGTATTTCTGAATATTTCATTTTCATCCTTCTAATTATTTGTAAAAGTCGTCTTTTAAAAAATTTAGGTTTCATTTGGTTTTAGAAAACAAATATAATTTTTTATTTTACAAAAATCAGAATATTAGGAAAATGTGTTGATTAAAGTTTTTGAAAATAGATGTTTGTTTTATACAATTTAAAATTTGAAGGAAACAAATTAAACTAATTTTGTTGTGTTTCGAAAAATAAAAAATCTATGGAGGTGACCAAATTGAGTGCACGTTGAAAGAATGTCCTCTAAATTAATAAATAATGATCTCTCATTTTGTTAGTTGCAATCATGGACCTACCACTCTTTCCAAATTCCACTCATCCTTTGACAAATTTTATAATGTTTATTAATATGGTTGAAGTGGTTAAATAGTATATATATATAGGATGAGTTTGGAATTCAGATTGATCGGTTTTGATTCGATTTAATTTTATAAGAGTAAAATTTTTTAGGTCGAGTTTTTTCAAGGATAATATTAGATTATTGATTCAAGTTAGGATAAAAAAAATTTATGATCGTTGGATGAGATTAACAGTAGGAAATGTGAAGATATTCACTGAAAAAAAACAGAGAGTAAATCTCATCATTTGATTTTCTTTCATCTGACGATCCTAAAAGGGTGTAAAATTAAAAGTTTTACTCTAGGTTTAAGTGGATCCTAACCCTAGTATAATTACTTCTTATGTATTTAAGGATAATTAAAATAATATTTTTCTTTATATATTTTTATTTAATTTATTGTTTTACCAAAAAAAATTTGAGTTGTTTTACCAAATTCGAAACAAATGACGGGTGGTGAAATATAATATTCAAATCAGATTTAGATGACAAAAACTCAACCCGACCTGATATATATATATATATATATATATATATATATATATATATTAAATTTTAATATAGTTTAAATATTTTTTACTTTTTATAAACTAATTCATATTTTATAACCATGAAAATGATAAAAATTGGGAAAATATGCATATCTTGTAATTTGCTTCAAAAGATATTTAATGATCCCATGTGTATGTACACTTTTGATACTTTATATTTATCAAAGATCCCCATGGACCTTTTTCTATTATTACATGAGATAATAAAACAATATAACATATAAATAAAATAAAAACTAAATTCAATTTACAAAAAAACATAGAGGAGAATCTTAATATTCTTAAATTTATTTATTTTCCATTATTATATATATATATATAATAGAAGCTAATAGTTTATTAAAAATAAAAAATTATAGCAATTACAAATTTACAATGAAAGTTTACCACCGCAACCGTAAACTAAAACACACAATAAAAATATTTTTCTATAATTATTAACACAAGAAACTAGCCACTTAAGATCACACAAAGACCATATAAGTAAAAGATTAAAAATTAACCAAATAAACTCGAATAAAAGTTAATTACGAACAAATCTGACCACATCGGCAATCGGAATCACAAAAAGGAATCAAGTTATAAAAATAACACTGATAAATCATAAATCAGAATCGAGCGAAATGAGAAAACTACCATCGAACACAAATTACGTATCCAAAACCAATCCAAGAGTCCAAAGCAGAGAAAACAACACGATAATAAATGAGTGCCATCTTAATCAGTCGTGATGATGTCAAATCTAACCCTGAGAAAAATGATAAACAAAAAATAACGACCAGTGACCTAAAACGTGCCAAAAGGGAGATAAAACGTATCATAAAGATAAAAAAAACGTACCATAAAGACAGAGTTATTAAAAATTAAAAACAATAAAAAATAAATATATAGTATAATAAAATAAAAAATAATGAATACTAATAGTCGACAATCAACATTAAGACTAATATGGTCTTCAATTAAAAAGATGAAGAAGAAAAAAAAAACAATGAATATAAAGAGAGAAAATTAAGATTAAAAACTAAAATATATATATATATTTGGTATACAAAAGTTTAGGTCATGGTGGCTCTCAGTTTAGGTCAGGGCATACCTAAGATCCAATTGAGATTTACATATAAAAAAAAAAAATAAAAAAAATCAGATTAATATTTTCAACAATCTAACGGTAACAAAACTCCGATGGAAACGGTATGATCTGACAAATACACAAGGACCACGTGCCTTCCACCGTTCACATTACAAAAGAAGGCAAGGGCGAAATCGTAATTGACTTACACAAAGGAGTCGAAGGGCCAGGCCAAAGCCAAGAGAAGAAGCTTCAAAGGACGTTGACGCTGCATCAGATTTGCAGGACCACCGGTCCCGGTTTCCATCTCCAAAACCCAAAACAAAACCCGGCTCCTTCCACTATCTCTTCTAGTTCTCAAGTAATTGCCGGTTTTATTTTAACTGTTCCATCATCTCCATTTCGCTCTTTTTCTCTTGGTTTAATTCTGCCCTAAGTCTCTTTATTCTCCTGGCTTTTGAAATTTAGTCCTCTAATTATAATTCCCCCAAATGTCTCCATTTATTTGGTTTTAAAAATTGTAATTCAATTAATAATAATGTTAATGAATAGTCATTGAATTTAAATATGTGACATTTTAATATTCAAACATGTTAGTTAAATTTAACTCAAATTAGTTTTTAATGTCATTTGTTGATATTTGATAGAAGAGATGATCATTATTAGATTAATCGATTGGTTAATTATAATTTATCCTTTTAATTTAAATAGATCGCCGTTGATCGTGGTGGTTTAAAATTCGCACATAATAAGTAATTTGGGAGCACAGATAATAGCTAGAAGCGTAAATGAGTCGAGTTTGAACGAATAAGATTGTGTTCATGCTCGTTTGTTTATTTTTTAAGATGTTCATATTTGGTTTAGATTCATTTAATTTTTTAATAACATATTCACATTCGTTTATTTATTTTTAAAAATGTACTTATTCGTTTATTTATTATTCGCGAACATGTTCGTTTAACGTTCACGAACATATTTGTTTAATATTCACGAACATGCTCGTTTGAATGTTGAGAAATGATAAAACTACATCACTATTCCTTTAGTTATCTAGGTCTCACAATTTGAACTCCAAAATTTACTTTGTGTTCAATTTATTTCATATCTTCATCAATGTTTAAAATGTAAATAATAGAAGGAAAAAGAAAATCAGATAAACGAGTCAATAAAGCTTGTTCGCGAATATAAAAGAATCAAACACTATTTTATTTGTGTTCGCTTGTTTATTAAAAGAACATACAAATTTTGTTTATAGTTATTTTATTTAATAAACAAACATAAACAAACGTTATACTAGAAATTCACGAACAACTCATCGAACTTTATGTTCGTTTACACTTTTAGTAATAATTATGGTTTTTATTGATGTATTTTATTGGATCTTATTAATATTTTTATTATAGGTACAGCATTATCAATCGAATATTTATTTCTAAATCAAGCGAATAAAAAAATAAATTTAATGAAAATAAATTATTAATATTATCGATCAAATTATATCTTATGTTATATATTTTTTTATCTAAATTTAAAGATATTCACATTATTAATCTAATTTATTTTTTAAATAATTGTTCTGATGATAATTATATATTCACATTATTAATCTAATATTCTAATTGTATTTTGCAAAATTGTGATTGTAACGACACTTGTAACTTCAAGAAAGAATCCTTGAATTAAAAGTCAGAAGAGTACAAGGACCGGGAGCTGAATTATACATTGTTTTCGCTTTCTATTTTCATCCTTTATTTAGATTGGCATTCACGATTTTGTCCCTCGCTATTCAGCTTTAAATAAAGTAATAGGTACCTTTGAATTTTTTTCCATTTTGCCTCTGTTTTCTGCTCTTCCTGTCAGGTCTCTCTTCTCTTCTTCTTCGATGAAATCCGTAGCGACTTTCATTTCATGAAAAAGCTTTAAATTAAGTGAAGTATTATAATTTATTTTAATATATTAAACATTGAAAAGTGGATTTTGTTTTTTTTTTCGTACATTGAAATGCTCTATTTTATCGTGTTTTTTGGATTCAAACTCTGTTGTTTTTTGGATTTTGTAGAGCTCGAGTTTCGAGGTGGAAGACAGGAAGAGTATGGCTAAGGGGTTCAGATCAGAGAATAATGGAGGGAAAACGACAGTGTTTTGGGACTAAAGTTGATGCCGTCGTCAGTTCTTTTAACTGAACCACCGTCCTTCTTTTCCAGGTATAAAAGAAGCAGAAATGAGAAAATGAATTAAAATTTTTAATTGTTCATGTGTACAAAGTTAAATATTGTCGTTTAACTTGGCATATAAGCATATTTGGTGGCCACTACGGGAAATTTTCAGTTCTTTTAATAATAAAAAATCATTGTTTTCGTTATTTTTAATAAAAAATATCATTATTATTTTGGGTGTGGGGTTGAGATTAGGGAGGAAGATTTTCATCTTAACTACCAGATTTGTTGCCATTTGTTTTCTTTTTACAATTTTTATTTGTTTTTTACTTGATGTTTAACTGTAAAATTAAAATATTAAAATGTAATCATTTTCAGATTGGTTGGGAGAAAACCTTATGATTAACTCGTTACTGATATAACCCCGTGATTATATTTTTATACTCATGATCACAATAAAATTTTCTGTAATTGGTTGGATTGGTAATCTTTATTAGCTTCTTGTTGCAGATAGATTATAGTTGTGACTGCATGGGCATAGGCTTAATATTTGTTTGGCAACCACGACAAACTCGCTTGCATTATAGGAAAGCAACAGTGAGTTTGTGTATTTGACATCTTTAGTTTGAATTTTTTGGGGGGCAACTGTAAAAGAGGAGTGTGAAAATTGGGGCAATTGGTGGGGAAGAGTTAAAGTTGGAGAAGGTGCAAATGGCAGCTGCTCGTGAGGAGAAGATTCTTGTTTTGGTGAGGTTGCGGCCTTTGAGTGACAAGGAAATTGTAGCAAATGAAGTTGCCGACTGGGAGTGCATCAATGACAATACTATCCTATACCGGAACACCCTCAGGGAAGGATCCACGTTCCCATCTGCCTATACTTTCGGTAAGCAAACTTCTTCTGTCTTCATTTTTGGTTGTGGTCGAACGAAATTTGTTGCATTAAACTATGAAAACTGGCTTCAATATTTTCTCAAGCTGACATTTCTTTTACATTGGTAAATGATACTAAAATTTTCCTTTAATAGCCTGGCTAATTGAACCTAGGCCAGCTTAATGAAGGAAACATGCATTGTTGGCTTATGTTCTAAAATCAGGTTTAAAAGCATCAAACATGGAATATTTCTGTTATGTGCTTGGGGGATTAACAATAGTTTTGATTAATAGACTGTACCTTTTTTCTTACCACTTATGGTGGGAACAGATAGAGTATTTCGGGGTGACTGCTCGACAAAGAAAGTGTATCAGGATGGAGCCAAGGAGATTGCTCTTTCAGTTGTTAACGGTATTAATTGTAAGTAGGGGAATTGGCATCTCGGCATTTGTTCTCTGTTTATAAACTTCTTGGTGAATAAGAAGTTTTCTCTAACAAATTTCCTTCATCTGTTCCCCAGCTAGTATTTTTGCATACGGACAAACTAGCAGCGGGAAGACATACACTATGGATGGAATAACTGAGTATACTGTTGCAGATATATTTGACTACATAAACAGAGTACTAAAAGTTTTAACTCATTTGTGTTCCATCATGTTGCATTTTCTTATGGTTATTGTTTAAAAGTGTTTTTTACATAGTACCAATATCATCATTCCAGCATGAAGAGAGAGCATTCGTTTTGAAGTTCTCAGCAATTGAGATATATAATGAAGTTATTAGAGATCTTCTAAGCTCAGATAACACCCAACTTAGGCTGCGTGATGATCCTGAGGTGAGTAGCAACATCCATATTAGAATATTAGTGTCATTTCCTTGAGTTTATGATTGCTCTAAGACGTTCATTTTGTCAGAGAGGAACTGTGGTGGAAAAAGTCACAGAGGAATCTCTGAAGGACTTGAACCATTTGAAAGAACTCCTTGCAATTTGTGAAGGTAAAACATTTTAAAGAGTGCTCTGTTTACTGGATGATGTTGCACATTTATGTATTATAATTAATTCTTAATACATTGCACTGTTTCAGCTCAAAGAAGGATAGGAGAGACTTCCTTGAATGAGAGAAGCTCCCGATCTCATCAAATTATAAGATTGGTAATCTCCTCTGCCCGTTCTTTTGACATTGATTGGATATTAAGTTGCTAACAGTTTGTGTAATGATGTTAAAATTTTACTTTTCTTTTTTAGCTTACCATGGTGTACGTTCTAACTTTTGTAGACAATTGAAAGCTCTGCTCGGGAGTTCCTAGGAAAAGAAAATTCAACAACCCTTGCAGCAAGTGTGGTATAGCTCTTGGAATTTACTTTCACTTTCACGGTTTGCTAGTTCTCAAATGAGAGAAAAAAATAAAATAAAGTGATACAGTTATTTGGGTGCAGAATTTTATTGATTTGGCTGGAAGTGAGCGAGCATCTCAGGCCTTATCCACTGGGACAAGACTGAAAGAGGGTTGCCATATAAATCGTAGTTTACTGACTCTGTCAACTGTTGTTCGCAAACTAAGGTTGGTTGGATACTTGGATTATCATATGTTAGAGTGCTCTTGTTTTTCATTTCAATCATCTGCAAGAGATTGTTTAATGTCTAATTTCTTTAAGCATCTATATGTAGTTATTTTGTTACTGTGAGGTTGAATGAGTTCCTATTTGTTTCCTTTATGGTTATCAATTTTCAATTTTAGACTGAAACAAAGCATTTGGGGGTTAGTTTTTTGATGGTTTGCTTAATTAGATTCAGATCTGAATCTTTCTCGATAGCACTAATGTTAAATCACTGTTTACTATATTTTTGAGTGTTTGTTCCTTCAATCCAGTTGGATTTTTAGTTATAATTACCATAATAATGTGTTCAAATACAGAATATTTTATGTCGTAGAAAATGGCAATGTCTTGTTAAACTATTGCCACCTACTAGATTGCTCAACTCATCAATGTGGTACTATGGTGGATGCAGTAAAGGCAGACAAGGGCATATCAATTACAGGGATTCCAAGCTGACACGGATACTGCAGCCTTGCTTGGGTGGTAATGCCAGGACTGCAATCATATGTACTTTGAGCCCTGCACGAAGCCACATTGAACAGACCAGGAACACTCTTCTGTTTGCTTGTTGTGCAAAAGAAGTTACTACAAAAGCTCAGGTCAATGTCGTCATGTCTGATAAGGCCTTAGTTAAGCATTTGCAAAGAGAGTTGGCCAGGTTAGAAAGTGAACTCAGGAGTCCTTTGCCTCCTCCTTCCTCTAACAGCGACTATGCAGCTTTGCTGAGAAAGAAAGATCTTCAGATCGAGAAGGTAACCATTCCCTTTGGGAAATTTATAAAGGATGTCAGGGGGTCCTCTTTAATGGACAAAATTGATTTTTTTATTTAATTTTGGATTAGCAATTTACTTAGCATATGCAATTATCTCTATTTTTTTTTGTCTAGCATGATAACAATGAACAATAACAAGTTGGTGAATCATGCATTCTGTGTTAAAACTTGTAAAGTTTGGGTGATTTAATCATATAAAATTGGTGAATCAAGCAGACTATTATTTTCTGATTAAGAAGCCTACAACATTGGGGGTGTCTGACATGTAAAATATAGGAGGGAAAGCTTAGGCATTTACATTTTACATGTTGCCTAACATTGATTGCACGACTTTGCACTATTCAGCTGGAGAAGGAGAATAGAGAGTTGACTAAGCAACGTGATCTTGCTCAATCTCGGGTCAAGGATCTGCTAAGTATGATTGGGAACGATCAAGATTCAGGACAATTGGTTTGTGTTTTGCCTATAGTATCTACATATTCTTTTCACTGAATACAGTGCCTAGTTGCAATATTATTCACTATTTTCTTCTTGAAATATTTTTCGTTTGATTTGAATTCCTTAATGATTGATTACACTTCTTTCTCTTTCTCTCATCAGGCAAGAATCAATTACCATTCCGATCAACGAGCAGGCGATCATGGGAAGATGACTATTCAGAATCAGTCATCATGTTTGGCTGATTCTAATCAATTTGCTGCATGTGTTAGAAAATTTAATTCAAACCATTGTTATGACAGAGAGAGGGGGAGTCATCGCAGGCCTTGAACAATCATGAAGATCATTCATGCCTCCAGCTGAACTGCTGATGATCCTGATGATACTGCAAGGACGATTCTGATGGACCAGGCAGGGAAAATAATGATTCTGAATCTCACGCTACCCCAAATGGTGTAAGTGAAGACGATTAGCACCGACATTAATAGAGATGATGGCTGGCCACGAACAATGAATGGACATAGAGAAGCAAATCGCATTCAAGAGGACCAGAGTGAGTAGAAGCTGGAGTTGTAGAGCAGATGTCAGGGTACATCTTCTCCATATACAGGGAACATACTGAAAGCACCCCTCCTAACGCGTTCGAGAAAAGCTTTCCTGGAAGACCAGACAATTACCAAATGAAATTTCCTTCATTAAATTTTGGTCCCGATAGTGGGAGGCTCTCCAGGAATGATTCTCTGTCTTCTCTTGGGAGTGCTTCGATTGTAGATGAGCAAATTACTAGCATTCATACTTTTGTAGCCGGACTGAAGAAACAACTTGCCAGTGGTCAGGTGAGACTATCGACTATTCCCCCTCGACCTGTAGGCAGAAACTTCAATATATGCACTCTGGCATGTCTCGTTTGATTTCTTGGCAAATGTGTGGTACTTTCTCCATAGGTTCAGGGCACCGGCCTAGAAGCAGGTGAGTCTGGAAGGAGCATCAGAGATGCTGGGTTGGATCCGATGTGTGAAGCACCAGGATCTCCTCTGGATTGGCCACTGGAATTTGAGAGGTTGCGGAGAGAAATACTTGAACTTTGGCATGCTTGCTATGTTTCCTTGGTTCACAGAACATATTTCTTCCTCCTCTTTAAAGGTGATCGAAATGATTCAATTTACATGGAGGTAGAGCTTAGGAGACTTACCTTCCTCAAGGAAACATTTTCTAAAGGAAACCAAGCAGTAGAAGATGGTCGCACTCTCACACTGGCTTCAAGGTTCTCTCTCTCTCTCTGTCTCTCTCAACCACCGATTGTCTAATAGGCTTTGAATGCTGTATGGTGAAACCTTGCTTGAACACAGGACATATGTGACATAGTATCTGGTGTCAATACTGAATGTTGTATCCTGAAGTGTGCTTTAGTTTTCTTGTTGAGGATCCTGTTACAGCCTTAGTAATTGTGTGGAGTTCGACTCAGTCGACAACACATATTCTGTTTTATGTATACTTCCATAATGTGTTATATTATCCTTTGCATGTAATTTCTTAAAAAAAAAATTCGTACTCTGTTAATTTGTCTGGCACAGTGTAAGAGCTCTAGCCGCGAGAGGCAGACCCTGAGCAAGCTGATGCGGAAAAGGTTTTCAGAAGAAGATAGACAGAAACTATACCAGAAATGGGGCATTGACTTGAACTCGAAGCAGAGAAGGCTGCAGCTGGTGAATCAGTTGTGGAGCAATAACAAGGATATCAATCACGTCACCGAGAGCGCCACAATTGTCGCGAAGCTGATCAGGTTTGTAGAGCAGGGGCGTGCCCTCAACGAAATGCTCGGCCTTAGATTTATGCCTCCGCGGCCTATGCGGAGATCCTTTAGTTGGAAGAACAGCATGGCATCCCTTATATGAGCCTGTGTTTTATGCCTTTGTTAGCACCTGAATACAGCCATTGAGGTAATTTGTTGAGTCATAGTCCATGATGTAGCATTCTTCTAGTGATTGAAATTGTTAACAGATTGGAATGACCACCAGATAGAATGGTGTATGAATGTAATTCTTAAGCCAAAAACTGGCTTGACGAAATTGCCCGTGGCGAATTCGGGTTTTGAATGTATTTCTCTTAGGTGACACGGATTTGGAAATACTGCTTTCTGGTTTTGCCATTCCTTTGTGTATTCATGTCGTATAAATGTTTTTTGTGTGTGTGTGTGTGTTATAATCATGCTTAAGATCTTATATTTATGTAAGTTTTTTTTATATAAAATTATCTTGGTACGTTAATCTTATCATAGTAATGAATATATGTTATAGCATTTGTTATAATCTAAAAAAAATCGAAGAAATGGAAAGAATAAAAGAGAACGCAAGAGAAATATTATTGATTCTGGAGATTATAATAGCTTAAATAAACATTGTTTTTGACTTTTAATAGGAAAAATTTTGAATAAAATTAATCTCTAAATTTGATAATTTTTTATAAAAATTTAGAGGATTGATTTGATTAAACTCGTCAAGTTCATGGATTAATTTGACTAAACTTATCATTCTCAAAGGTCAATTTAAATAAAAAAAATTAAGTGTTAATTTGATCGAACTTCGCAAGTTCAAGGACTTTTGTGTGTCGTAAATTTTTCTAAATCATGTGATGTAGGATCTATTTGGGTGCGTGATAAGATTAGTTTCGGTGAAATTAAAAACAGAATAGTAGAATTATAAAAAATATTTATGTAATATTATAATTATGAAATTATATTTATATTAAATGAAAATATATATTAAAATTTTGTTTTTATTAGGATAATTAAAATTATTTTTAAAAAGTAATTAGACTAATTATTGGGGGCTTTGAAAAGGGAAAACGCTGTCGTTTCATCATCAACGGGCTCCTGTCCACATTCATAGATCAATTTAAAGCTTCCATATCTGAGCGGAAGTCGAGTGGGGAAATACCCTGAGAGAGAGAGAGAGAGAGGGGAGTGTAGAGTCTTAAAGAGAAATCAATCGCAAAAAGGCCACCGAAATGAGCGGAGCCACGACGGCGGCGTATTTAGCTCGACGAGCAGCGCAAAAGGAAAGGATTCGGATCCTCTACCGCCGTGCCCTGAAAGACACCCTCAACTGGGCCGTCCATCGCCACCTCTTCTATCAAGATGTAACTCCTCAAAATTTCACAATCTTATTTCCTCGTCTTTTTTTTTGAACTGGATCTCTATTTTATTTAATTTCATTTATATGTTTAGGCCTCTGACCTTCGCGAGAAATTCGAAGCCAACAAGCATGTGGTTCGTCCTCCTCATTTCTCAATCTTCAACTCAAATTGATTTTACAGTAAACTTGAACGAGTATTTGTTGAATCTCAAATTTTCTTTTTACCGTATAGTGATTTGCGAAGCATATCTTTTTTTTCGTTTGTTCCTATGATGATGATTTGAGCTTATTGACCTTCTGCATTGAACTTATAAAGGAGTAAGGACTCTTGTAGATGATGTTTATAGTAGTTGAACGGTTTAATTAATTGGTTTAACTTGAGGCTATTTTGGTTTTCGTTTTACAATTTGGTGTGTTTTGCAGGAAGATCTTGACACAATTGACAAAATGATAGCTGCAGGTGAAGCAACTTATAATAAGTGGCGGCATCCCGATCCTTATATCGGTAGGTGTAAGAGACATGGTTATTATATAAGGCGAGAGAAATATGGAGTGGAATTTGAATTTTATATCATGTCTCAATAATTATCACGTGGAAGGGATTTGTAAGTGAAATTTGGGATTCATAAGTTGTTTTGAACCTTTCTTTTCAAACAATTTAGAGGCGAATAACACAATTTTGATAAGGGATTGAAATCTTGCTGGCAACTAATTAATTATTATAGGATTTTAGTGTCTGATGATGGTTTGTTGATACAAGTTAACTTCCAATCATTGTGTGAAACAAGGAAAATGAGAGCAAAGGTTTGTGGAAGTAGTTTAAGAGATGCTACCAAACTATTACTATGTCAATTCACCTCTCATTGCTTTGTTGCATTGTTTTCCACTTACATTGTTGTGCGTGGTTCACCTCTAATTGGTTATTACGTTCTTGTGTCTGGTCCACCAGACCATTACCATGTTAATTCACTTCTTTTATTTCTAAATAAATTTTTTATTTCATAAGTTCACTTGAACTTTCTTTTCTACAATTAAGAGGATAATTGCTCAAAATTCTGAAGGTTGGGTGAATCTCATAATAATTAATCAGTTATAGGATTTCAGTTCTTCTTCGATGATGATAGTTTGATGATACCAGTGAAATTGATTGTGTGAAAAAACAAATGAGAGCCAAGGTTGGCAGAAGAAGGCGAAAGGAAATGTTACCACACTACTACTATGCCAATTCACTTCTCATTGTTCAGCGGCATCTCTTTTCCACTTACATTCTTGTGTTTGTTCCACCAATAGTTTTTTTTAATAGTGTTCCACCAATAGTTAATTATTGCTGATTATGTATCACTTTTGTTATGACATGCTGATTGACTGTGATATAGGTAGGTTTCTTATAAGGGCTTAGTTTCCTGTTTAAACCTAGTATGTTGTTTGAAGCTCGTGTATTAAATTCATTTGCAGTTCCTTGGGCTCCTGGCGGTTCCAAGTTTACTCGAACCCTGTCCCACCTTCTGGGGTAAGTGTTAAGCTAAACATTTCTTGCAATGCATTCTGCCAATGCCTCTTGTACACAGTTATTCACTAGTCACATTGTTTATCAACCCATTATACAAATTATATACGGCAGATCAGAAGAAAACTAGTAAAAAGAAATTAGAAGCCTTTTTCTTGTCTTGTTTTACTACTTGATAGCAGATAGTTTGGTTATTTCTTCCTTTAAGTAGGTTTTATCTTTATCTTGATCAAGCATCGAAATTTATCTATTTGGTGGAGAAAGGTGTGGTGAGTTGAAAAGTCAACTTGTCTCATAATATGCATAACCTCCTAATACATGCAGCACTGTGTTGTTTTATGTTGTTGCTTAGATCATTTGTGTTCTGTCAGCTATTATTACTAAATTTCTTATTGGTCTCATTGCTTTTTATCTGGTTCTGATTGTTCGCTTTTGATGCAGATTGAGATTGTGTATAATTATGGTCGAGAAGAGAATGATTAAAACATCCATCTTTTCATATCCCAAGCAATAAAGGTTAGCCACATGCTTCATATAGATTCTCCCCCCCCTATTTTTTGATAAGGGATAGGTGTCGTCCAAAGACTAACCCAGGTTGTTGTCAACTGTGAACTTGATAACAAGTCCTTGCCATTCCACCAATGGTCCAATACATACTTCATTTAGATATACATCATCCATTGTATAATTTATGGGATGATTCTACATGTTTGTCTCTTCTAAATTTGGACGATTTTTGCACTATCACCAAGGCAGTAATGGAAAGAGCCTCTCTCGCTTGCTCTGCCCATTTAGTTTAACTTTAATGTTGAAACTCTTAATTTTTGGTTGATGCAGATCTAAAGGATCCTCGAGTGCGTAACAGGGGGTCTTGGACAGCAACTACTTTGCATTCTTTCAACCTGAGATAAGACTTTCTAATAAATTCATGTTGATGATCTTTGCTCTTTTGTGGTTGTTGTGTGTCTGGTCTAGTGTAACAAATGATCATTGGTCGGATTGAAGATACAAAAATGCTGTTGACTTGGCATATATTACAATCTGGAATCTTTCTCGTGACAAACTATTTTCTCTAATTTTATATGACGTCGTTTGTCATTCCGTTACTATTGTTGGTTGGCAATTGAGCGTGACGGAGACATTCGGATCGGAGATCCGGTTCCCATTCACAAATAGGAGCAAAAAAGAAACCCGTTTACCATACCTTTTGCATAAATCAGATCAACGACACCACTTACTTTAAACAATATAAATCAATTTAAGTACCCTTATGTTAAGGATGCACTTAAAACCCATTCTTAAATAAAACTCTCAAAATTTCTTTTAGAGGGTGTCATGTTTCTCCCAAACATTGGAGTAAAATTGCAATTGCGATTTATTACATTGGAGGGTCTCGAGTTTTGCTAGGTTTAAATTTAGGGAGATTGTCTTAAAATAATTACAAAAATCTCTTATATATTTGTGTGTTCACACATTATCAATTAGATTTTGACAAAAAATGTGAATGAAAATTATGTTAATTCAAATCCTATCATCATTACATTTCGAGTAAAAATATTTTTGTTGTAATAATCTAAATGACGTGGGTTTGACTCTTAAGATTATGCAAAATACGAATTAATTTGATTAAAAGAGCACTTCTTATACATTAATAAAACATATTAAAACAAAATTTATGTCATGTTCATATAATTAAAGATAATAAAAATAAATTTTCAATTACTTAATTTAAATTCAAGTTAGGCCACGTGAGTTCGGCTCGAGGAATAAAGTTCCTTGCTCAGTCCGGGGCAAATCTATGGGCCTACGAACCATCGAATATTACTTTCAGAAAACATAATCAACAATTGGGATATATGGATCGGACTAGGGGCGTAAATGAGACGAGCCGAGTCGAGCTCGAGTATTACTGAGCTCGACTCGACTCGAAAACTTTGAAATTGAGCTCGCTCGAAAACTCGTGAGCTTAAAATTTTTAAGCTCGGCTCGAACTTGAAATCCTGAACTGAAGCTCGTGAGCAACTCGAAATACTCGAAGTGGGAAAAAAATTCTTAAACTTAACTCGATTGAAGCCTCAAACTCGAACATGAACCTTAAATACATGAAATCTTACTGTATTTTTTAAAAATATCAATACATCAATACATAAATAAAATTTATTAATAATATTTTTTTTTAAAAAATATATTATATTTTAGAACTGCTCACGAGCTTTCGAATCGAATATGAGTAGCTTGTTTCGGCTTGTTAAGAACTCGCAGTCGATCTCGAGTAGCTCGCGATCTGTCTCGTCTCATTTACAACCGACCTGTCCATTAACAGCTTGAACTTCAGCAGCATTTTTTTTCAGGAAAACTCAATTCTATTCTATAAGGGAAAAATCAACCATCAAATGAGTACTCAAAAGTAGATGTTTTAATCAATAAATAACTGGACTTGCTGTTTAATCGGAATTAACCCAAGCACGATCGAATAACAGTTCGGATACAGTGATACCTACATAAGCAATATAATTAAGAATACTATGCAGCTGCACGAGCTTATTCTGCTCTAGATTGGCCAGCTCTAGAAGACAAGATGATGCCGACGATAAGGCCATAGAGAGCCAAAGCTTCGGCAAAGATGAGGATAAGGATCATTCCAACAAAAAGTTTCGGCTGCTGCGCGTTAGCTCTGCAAAACAAAGTCGTTCGTTCGAAGTTTCAGACTGAAGATATATGCCAAACGTATGATATGTTCGATTTCATTAAATACTCAAAAAACATTTTCGACGATTCAACAATAGATATGAGAGAGATGCACAATGTGAAGGTCACAGCAAACTTGGTAAACTGAAATTCTATCTTTGTATTGTCAATACACGAACGTGTATATGCATATATGTGCATTAGTAATATGAATGATTTACTTATGGTCAAAAATTAAAGAAAATAACGTTAATTCAATCAGGACTTTTTCATGCCTGGTGCACATCATCAGATGGGCACTTACCCAAGGGTCTAAGTTGCTTTTCTTGTCTAGTGCTAAGGTGCAAAGAGCATAATGAAACTGAGTAATAGAAATGCTATCTTTGTAACATGCTAAGGTGCAAAGGGTTCGAGCAACCGTGTTGCAAGGAGTGTATGTGTTTGCCAATGATTAAGAAATATTCTGAACAAATATTATCTTATAATTAACTCTAAATTATATTATATAAAAAAAACCCATAGATTTAGACTTCACTATCTCAGAAATTTCAAGCCTGCCTAGATGAGGGAGGGCAGCTTGGGTTTCAAAACTGACTCAAACCCAATAGGGGAAAAAGGGCTGCTATGATATCAAAATCCACGAGTGCATAAAGAAACCGTGAAAAAAAAAATCAGACCAGCTGGTGTTAATTAACGACAAAAATGTCCCATGGAAGTTAAAGCAGATATATGACACCATCATCCCAACAATTCCAATTGCCATTCCAGCAGAAGACCAGCGAGGCCAAGCAAGACCGAGGAAGAGGGGCGTAACCATCGAAAAGGTAATACGGTTTGGCCTTAGGATTGATCCCAGTACTAATAATAACAGCAATAATCACCCATAAATACCCAAAACACAGCCATAACCACCGGTACAATAGATTCATCACCAACTCAGGCCTCGTCACACCCATTGAAGCCACTCCCACACCGCTTTTGCTGTCCCGTAGGCAGCTCCCATACCTAAATTCACAAATTAAAACTTTTCTCAATTCAAGCGCTTCTGAGCTTATTTGGATGCAGTATCCAAATCTAAATTCTGCCATTTAAGTCCGATAGAAAGTAAACTTTGACAGCAATATTATAAAGTCAAATCCTGTACTTAAACAGTATCAAAATTCAGTCTCTGTACTAAAAAAATGAAAACCAAGTTATATTACTTTTTCAAATTAAAATTTTTAGTCCAATCGTTAACACTGTCTCCTATCTATCAGTATGCGTACTGAGTTCGTACCATGATTCGTTTCGACGTTAGTATAATTCAAGTGATATTGATGGCAAATTTTAACGAAAAACACTAATTATGTCAACAGGTGAACTAAAGATTCTTAAATAAAAAAAGGTAAGACGATTTAATTTTAACCAAATAATAATTTATTTTATAATTATTCATATCACAAATTCAAAGATCATGTCAAATACCATTAAATTTGTACGTAATTTACAATAAAAATGGAAATTTTCTTCTTTTTCTTTTTAAGCGGTTCGCTAAACGAACATATAAATAGTTATCCATGAATTCTCTATCAATGGAAATTAAAACAGGTCTAATATTAAAAGAGATAAGATAATAATTTAAAAGAAAGAACAAATAACGATGAAATTATAGGGGAGAGTGATGAATAGTTACAGGAGAAGACGAGAGCAGCAGCGGCGCCGAGGAAGCCGAAGAAAGGTGCCGTTTCATCGCCGCTGAAAACAGAAGCCATTGCGGATCTGGAACGTTGTCGTTTAGATCTGAGGATCAGGGGGGAAACGAGTCGATGACTCGGGAAGTTGCTTTGGTACGAGCCGAGTATTTATGTTGATAATTATATAAGAGTACATGATGACCCAATTATCTATCATGTGTGATTGGCTAAAGTAGGAGTTCTTGAGAGAGACGAAACTAAAGAATTATGTTATATTTTTTTTCCGGTTCAACAACAATTAAAGTTTTTATAGGCTTTATTATATAGAATTGGCTTTATTATAAAATTTTATTATTTATATTTTTTTATATTTTTAAATTCATTAATCTAATTTATATAAATTAAATCTTTTTTTAAAATTATAGGATAATAGAAGATAATATATGTTCGAAACTCCTTGCATACGCAATGCTAGAGCCTAAAATCTCAAAGATAACAACAAATTCCTTAATAAATCTAGTCTCAATTAGATATTAAGTTTAAATAAATCTTTTATGTTTTTTAATTCATTAATTTAAGCAGCAGAAAGAGCTTGGGTTGGCCTTTTAAGAACCTTTTAGTGGATAATTTGTTTAAATAATGGGGTTGAAAAATAATATGGACATAGGTGGAGAAAATATATTTCGTCAAATGATGTTTGTTATAGTACTCGTGAAAGTCGTTTGATTCACACTACAATATCTAAAAAACCGTCTGAATCATACGACGATTTTTGGAGTATAATTAACTATCTATGCTATCGTGTATACATAAAGTGTTTGGAAGTCGATGTGTAGTTTAGGTGTCATCCAAAAATCATTATACTCGGGTCGATTTTCATAATATTATAGAAAACATCTTATTTGAAAAAAATAATTTATCCAATATATATATATATATATATATGGAAAAATATTGTTCTTTTAACACATTATTGAATCATTTTACCATTTTCAATGTTTGATTTTAAAGTCTATCTTTTATGTTGGTAAAGACGTAGCACAATCCCATAATAATTGTAGGTATAAAATTTGTGGGGATTGAACTCAATCCAATCTAAACCTAATTTGGTATTGGAGAGCCCAACATGAGGTCCATTCTGTACCAATGGAGAGCCCTTACTTCTCCCATCCCAAATAAACCAAGTGGAACAAAGACCAATGTGGTGATAGCAGCGATAATGAAGCGGAAAGCAGTGCGAACAAGAGTGGAAATAGTGCATCACTAGGTGGGATGAATTCATCTGAGAAGAGGGAAGGGATCAAAAGGAGTGCAGGAGGAGACATAGCTCCTTCTTCTAGACATTATAGAAGTGTTTCAATGGATAGTTTCATGGGGAAGTTGAACTTTGGTGACGAGTCGCCAAAACTACCACCTTCACCGGGAACTCGTCCTGGACGACTCTCACCGGGCAATTCAATTGATGGAAATTCATCTTCCTTTAGTTTGGATCTTGGAAGTGGTGAGTTCAGTTAGGCTGAAATGAAGAAAATTATGGCAAATGATAAGCTTGCGGAGATTGCAATGACTGATCCGAAGCGTGCAAAGAGGTATCGTACTTTTCAAGTCTGTAATAACTTTTTTGATGATCCTATAGCATCTCACTTAACTATCGGTTGGTACTTTTAAGGATTTTGGCTAATCCCCAATCAGCTGCCCGTTCCAAAGAAGGAAGATGCGTTACATTTCAGAGTTGGAGCACAAGGTTCAGACTCTGCAGACCGAAGCTACCACATTGTCTGCTCAACCAACACTCCTGCAGGTGGAAAATTTCGAGCACGTGATGTTATAGTTATATTTCCTACTTTTCTTTTCCTCATTCTCAACTTTAAATTGACGCAGAGAGAATCTGCCGGGCTCACAAACCAGAACAACGATGAAGTTTCGTATTCAGGCCATGGAGCAACAGGCACAACTTCGTGATGGTGTAATCCAATTTTCATTTTGTTAAATCTTTTAGTCCTCTACTTTTGGCCGAAAAGTATCTGTTTACTGCAACTATCATGGTGTCTCATGCTTCATACTTCATGCTTCTTGGTACCTCATGTTCTGTTTTTTGTAACTGCAACTATCCGCTTCTACTTTTACGGTACTGTTGAGAACGAGAGATTCTTAAGACATGTGCGTGCAAGTATCTAAGATATTCATATCTTGTATAGGAAATGTATGGTTTGTAGCTAAAATCATTGTGCATTGATAGGAAAAATATCCGGCAACGGATATTATGTGTTTGTATAGTTCTATTATCACGTTCGATTGATATTCATATATTAGAATAAACATGTTACCTCTGTTCACAAAGTCTCATACTCGGGAAACAATTAAACCTGCTGAACTTTATGTTTAGCCTGTCTCAGAGGTGGAGATTGTGGTCTGCATATATTGGTCGTATTCATTTATCTGTGAAATTTTATGCCTCAATAACTCGACCCTTGTGTTGCATTTGGACAGCTCTCAAAGAAACATTAACTGCCGAGGTCCGGCGACTAAAGCTTGCTACTCGAGAGCTAGGTGGTGATTCTGATCCGCCCAAGGGGATGGTTTCACAGCAGCTTCCTGTTAACCACCAGATATTCCAGCTACACCAGCAGCAGTCTTCCCAGCTAAACATTCCCCATCAGTTCCAGCAGCAGCAGCCGCAATCACAACAGCAGAACGGGAACACAATGACAAAATCCGAGTTGAAACAGTAGCTTGCGACTTCTCGAGGAGTTGAAAAGTCACAGTGCCTATTTCAGTATGTTATTGTTTCATATTTTCTTCACCTGCATCCATTCATTGGTTTTCTAAGTCCGAGTTCAACGAGTCCGGAGTGTCGCGGTTCGGATATCCATCTCTGATCACGGAATAAAAACAAAATATATAGCTGGAAACAATCATATACCATCCGTTGTTGGATGTAAGCATTAAGTTGACATTATTTGTTGCATTAACATTGGAAGTTTGACTTGTCCGTTTGTTCTATCATTTGGCTTAACTACGAATTGAATCTGGACTTGCAAAAGTAATTTATCGAATCGAACTAATTTAATATGACGTTTTTACTCAATTTGAGGTTTCTTCAAATGTTATAATTTTCATGTCGTTTGTAATTTCCTTTTATCAAGAAGTGTTACTAGAAAGATAGAACCGTAATTCAATTAACTTTATTTTAGATAAGCATTTGTAAATTTAGGGTTGTAAACTAGTCGAGTTTGAGTTGCTGAGCTCATTTTGACTCGAAAACTCTGAAATTGAGGTCGACTCGATTTGAAAACTCGCGAGCCTAAAAGTTTCAAGCTCGACTCGAACTCAAAACTATGAATTGAAGCTCAAATAAGCTCGAAATAAAAAAAATCTTAATCCGGTTAAAACTCGAACCTGAATCTAAAGTACATTTATAATGTATTTTCCTAAAAAAATCAACACAAAAATGTTAATATTATTAATAATTTAATTTTTAAAAGATAAAATTTTAGTGTATTATTTTTTCGAGTAGCTCGTGAGTTTTTTGAGTCGAGTATGAGTAGCTCGTTTCGTCTTGTTAAGAATTCGAGTCGAGCTCGAGTTGAATCCATTCAAATTAAGTATTTATCAAGCTTTGACTGAATCGATATTAAATAGCTCATGATTTAGTTCGTCTCATTTACCGTCATATATGTTTGATTAGAACCGTGTTGAGAATCCGATTTGAATAAAATATACATAGAGGACATTACTGAAAAAGTTGTGGTGGAGCTGCTTAAATAAGTGTTTGACCTTTACGTAAGTCACAGACTGCATTAATCTTTGAGAGTGAAAATAATCGCCCTCTCAATTTTTGCTCCCCTACTTTCAGGTATTTGAAACGGGGATAAACATGAGCCGGTTTAATTAAGTTTTTGATCGATCTAAATCTAATTTGAGTATCATATATTTTTACCTATGAACTTATTCGGATTTAGTAAGATTTTATGACTCGACATTTGAATTAGATTTTCGTACTCGGTTTGATTTGATTTGACATAAATATATATCATTTTTATTAAGTAAAATAGAGATTTAATTAAAAAGTATAAAGAATTATATTATTGTATTTTTTTCAAATATATAAAAATATTATTATTGCATGTAAGAAATTTTTTATTTTAAACTGAAATTAACTTAACCTAATTTTATTCCTTTTAAAATGTCTAACACAACTCGACATGAATCTAAAATTTAAAAAATATCATTTTATAAAATCAGATAAGATCAAAATTCATCTATACAGCTAACATATCTATCCCTAATTTAAAAGGTCATTATATGGTGCCCATACCTAATTGGGGGAGGAACGAACCTCACATGACCTATATCTGAGTTGGAGTAGTAAAACAAGGCGGTACAAAGAAAGGACAAAACGTGACTTAGGGAACTGTTGATTTAGTACAATTTTTTAGGTACTGAAAAAAGATTCCAAAACAGTGCAGTTTACAGTTTTCAACTGACGGTCGAAACAACCCATGCTTTTGCGGTTTGAAGCAGTTTGGGGAAGGAACGAACCTCACATGACCTTACTACGTTGTCTTCATAACACTAGAAATATTCTCGTGTGACAGTCTTAATATAAGATTAAACTATAATATTATTAGTTTTGTTATTGTTTATATAATAAAGTCAGTAAAAAATAATTGAAAATATTATTAGACGCTAAAAAATAATTGATTTTATTATTATTAGGGTTTTAACCGGATTTTCAAAAAAATGATCAGAAATATTATTAGACGTTAAAAAATGACCAAAAATATTACTAGGCACTAAAAAATGATCGAAAATATTAAAAAATTAATATTTTAAATAAAAATAATATTATCAATAACTTTTTACCGATTTTATTATTTAAACAATAATAAAACTATTATCACCTTATTTTAACCTTGTATTAAGGCGCGATACTGTAGAAATGCCCTCACAACACAGTTTCGTGGCACCACACTAACATGGCCCTCACGTCCTAAACCAGAAACCCAATGTCTTTTCTTTTTTCCAACTATTAAAGAAGAAGAAAAACACTGTGCCTCTCCTGGTTCAACAGAGCACCGGTGAGCAGTGGTGGACCTTTCGTAATTGTTTTTCATACAGTTTCCCTTCAGAGAACATGCAGATGTGGCTGTCATAGATGGTGACTCGTGGGGTTTGATTTGATTGATGTTCTGTTCTTTGTTTTCGCCGTAAATCATGCAATTTAATCCCCCAAAAATTTCCTAATTGCCGATCCGTACTATGATGCGATTTGGTCTTTGCTTTCAGCTGATTAAGGCAAGATTTGGAATCAGTTGAGGAATTGACCTATATTGCATTCCAGTTGGCCTGAACGTTTTAATTTAGATTTTTGAATATTTTTAATTAAATCTAAAAAAAAATATAACGATATTTAATTTATTAATCGATTAATCTATATTAAATATTATAAAAGTTAATTATAAAATAATATTGCAAATTTAGTTTTCTTCAGTTATGATATCAAAATTTAAATATCTTACTTTCATTTAAAAAAGCTATCGCATTATTCTTAAACCATCCTATAATTGGTAAGTTTTTAATTTTTTTTCATTAAACCTCCTAATTTTTTTTAAAGAATAATTAAACCGTCAAAATTTTAAAAGTTCTTATTAATTTTTTTTCTTAAGGCTCTAAATTTTTTAATTAAACTGTCAAATTATATCATGAAGATCATCCATTATTACTATATGAGAAAAAACAAAAAGATATATGAAAACGACATGAAGGACATTGCCGTATAAATATTAAATCTAGGATTTCTTTTATTACTTAATGAGCCATAGAACATGGAGGATCTGTGTTTGTGAAATGGAACTAGGCCAGCCCTAGGAAGATATAAGTGGTGCATATTTGAAGGGCACCAACTACCTAAATAGGCTCTTATTTTGTTGGTGGACCACATGCAATTGAAAACACATCCGCCCTTGGGACCTTATGTCTAACACTGCTCTAACAAATAATCATATTCCAATTAACATTTAAATTAGCGGATGAGTTGATAGAAAAACTTAACCAAAACATTTTAAAGTTTAGGGAACTTTTGTGTAATTAATCCAAAAAAAGAAACATGATAACTTCTTTTTTTATTAATTTCATATTCACAAAGTGCGCCCATGCATTGTTAGTTTGCGCAATTTGCTGTTCGTTGATAGAATAAACTATGGAGTACTGGCATATTCATTTCAAACAGAGCATTATTTATTACTAAACAACTACAAGTTACAAGGTACTGTTGTCTTCTAGGTCAAGCATCTTTCTTTTCTTCATTTTTAATTGCATATATGTATATGTATATGTCATTGGCTCTGCAATAAACAATGCCATAAGCCCAGAAGTTGCAGATACAAAGAGAAAGAAAAGGGTTTTATTTTATCACCAAGTTGGCCTGACCTAGTTTGCATTTCTTCAGATGAAATATGATCAACTGAACTGACCACGTAAAAGAAAATTGCAACTGTGGTCAAAACCTGCAAATCCAGCAGTAAAAAACCACATGGGTTTCTGTTTCTTCTGCCCTTCAGACAAGAAATCACAAGACAAAGTAATCGCAAAGATCCAAATGTTCAAACCAACAGAACCTGTTGTATTTCCCAGTGAACTCATCATCGGTCCGTGAATTCAGGTAGGGGGGAGAGAGAGATTATAGGGTTTAGCAGATTAATTAAAGCTATATGCCGCGTATTTAAGATATCTTTTAGGTTTTAAAAGATGACACTTTTACTGTAATAAGATGCATGGGGCACATGTTGGGAAAAGTAGAAGGGACAGAGGATTTTCATTTTTGTTTGTCTGGTAAGAGAATCTAAGATTGATTTGAACAATGAAGTATTATTATTGATTTGAACAATGAAGTATTATTAACAGAGACCTAGGGGATTGGGATCCTAAACAAAACAGCATGCAAACGTTGAATGTTATGCTCTCTACTATTACTCTTCAGTATCTTTACTTACCTTATTTTCATTTGTTTATATGCTCCATTTTGGTATATATATATATTTATTTGATAAATGTTCAAGATATGGTAATTTAACCCCTCTTTTTCTTAAGAATTTGGTATTGATTTTTGTTTGATTTGATGCAAAAATAGTTTATAATATGGCTCGTTTGATATAAAAACGAGGATTTATTATAGATTAAGGACGATAATAGATCAAGTTGGGTCAGATTTATTAGTTGATCGAAACTCGATCCGACTATTATAATCCTCACCTGACACACAATCTGACTATTATAGTCCTCACTTGACACTCGATTCAAAATTAGGGAGAAAAACTCGACTCAAATATAAAAAATACCATTTTTATTTGGTAAAATAAGGACCTAATTAAAATATATATTGAGAGAAAATGATATTATAGCAACTATCATTAAATATAAATAAAAGTTATATTATTTCGGGTCGAGTTGAATTATATATTTTTACTCTAAACTCTACCAAATCAACCTCATGTCTTACAAAACTTGACTCGACCCAAACCCAAAATTCAAGAAAAAAGACGAAGAAAAGAAACTCATAAGATGAAATTGGATTGAAACCAATTGAATTGGAATCAATTTATTAGATGCAAATTAAATATAGTTATATGATTTAATATACTTGATGAAATAAGAAAATCAAGTAAGGGATCCAATATTTAATTTGACCCCACTTGTTGAATTAACCGAAATTCTGATTTTCTATTCAACTAGGGGATACAATATGATCCTGTAGCCTTGCCCTTGTCCTAGTACTGCCCCCACACTCTCACATGACTCGAACTTCATAAATAAACACCCCGGTCTTCTCCTTCTCAATCCTCCCACACTCCTCTATCTTCTCCCCTCCTTTCTGCTTCAAAGAACTCATCAATGGCGATCAGAAAATCATCCAAGCTCCCTCAGACCCCAGTTCTGAAGCAAATCCTCAAGCGATGCTCGAGTCTAGGCAAGAAGCACGGCGGCTACGACGAAGACGGACTCCCTCTCGACGTACCGAAAGGCCACTGCGCCGTTTACGTCGGCGAAAAAAGGAGCAGGTACATTGTGCCCATCTCGTTCTTGACTCACCCCGAGTTCCAGTGCTTGCTCCGACAAGCCGAGGAAGAGTTCGGGTTCGACCACGACATGGGTCTCACTATCCCTTGTGAAGAAGTCGTTTTTCGCTCTCTCACTTCCATGCTTAGATGAACAGCAACAAAAACAAACAATTGATTTGTTAGGTGAAGGGATGTGGGTTGTCTTTTGGAGAAGATGAAGATGGCTGAGAGAAGCATATGTAGCAGCATTGTATGGCGCTATGCTTTTCTTTTCCTTTTTTTTAAACATCGATTCTTCTGGGATTTTCTTTTTATTTTCTACTATTTTGAACCCATTAATCTGGGTTTTTCTTCTTCTTCTTCTTCTTCTTATGTGACTCTAACTTAGCCCAAGAACTATGAAGTTTTTTTCTTTCTTTTTTCTGGGTTTAATAAGCTGTACAAAGTATCCTCATTGTTAAGAAAATCAAATTTATTTAAGAGAGTCCTTTTATAATTTATTTAAGAGAGCCCTTTTATAATTTATTTTTATAATATTTTATTTGAATTATTTGATTGATATTATTAATATTAAAAACACTATTAAGTCGAATTCATGGACATGGGTCAGCGTTGGTTGAGGTTTTGGTTTATCTTAATTCCATTCGAGTATTATATTTCTTTATTCATCATTTGAATCGATTTAGGTTTAGAGATACTTCATTTGACATAAAATTTAATCTAATTTTTGAGATAAAAATTTGACCTGTTTGGACAATATATATAATTTTTATTTTATAAAATCATGACCTAATAGGAAAAAAATATAAGGAAATATTATTATAATTATTTTTATTTAAGAGGTAATTATATTATTATTTTGAGTTAAATCGGATATGATGTTTTTTCACACAAAATTCTAAGCTACTTTGTTTTAAAAAAATTATTTTCGTAATAATGTAATATATGTTAATACTCATATACTTTGAAAATGTAGCGATTCAAATCCAAAATCTCGGGAGAACAACAATACCTTTAACTATCGAGACCACTTAATAAATTTTGTTAAACAATTATTTATATAAAATCAGGCAAAATAGAAGTTCACGTAAAATATTCATCCACTCATAAATGAGAGCAAAACCTACGTTTAGTAAACATTGATATACATATAAAATTTTAAATATTAGATATAATATTTTGAGATATAAACTCTTCCATTATTATTATTATTATTTATTTATAAAGATTAAATTTAAAATATATATTTTTTAAATGAAGCAAAAGCTAAAGAGAAAATACATCAATGAAGCCTTAAAAAAGGAGGGCCATGAATGTTTTGTTGAAGGATGGAATCGAGCCCGTTCTGTAGGGTACTGAAGAGAGCCCAAGTCATCATGTCTGATAGTGGACTTTGCCATGAAGTCTGCTGCACGTTTTGCTTCTCGCTTGATTAGACTGAAGTTAACATGCCAAGATTGGCAGAATAAGGACGAAATCTTGCGAACTTGCCAAAAAGGAAAGCCCATCGAAGCATAGAACAAAAGATAATACGCTTCGCTGTTATCAGTTTGAACCAAGATACTCTCAAAACCTTGGGACCAAGCTAAGTGTAGACCATGACAAATACCCCAAAGCTCAGCATAGGGGACCGAAGAGAAGCCTAGATCCTTGTTGTAAGCCGAGATGAAGTGACCCAAGTGATCACTGAAAACACCACCTGCAGCCGCTTTTCCAGTGGACGTCGAGACACCTTCAATAACCTGTTGCATATATATAAGTTAGATTTATTTATACAATATAATTATTTTTTTTAGTTTTACACATATTTAAGACTGTTAGATGGGTAAAAATAGACGGTTGAGATTAATTTCTTATTTTTTAATGCAGTTAATTGTTAATATCTTCTCATTTTAATCTTAGTTGTCTAATTTTATCAATCTTAAATCCGTATAAAACTTAAAAAGTTATACATTGTGTAATTGAATCCTATCTCTATATATTAATATAGACGTAGAAAGTTTCATTCTTACAACAAACAAGGTACAATCAGCATGATCGGGACCATATTGATGGAAGCATTTGAGCCATATTTATTTATGTGAAACTGGTTTATTCCAATACATGGACCAGTGTTGAAACCAAAGGCCGTGTCTGATAATTAGCTGGTCCTCAATGTAATGCAATCTTTCTTCTTTCTAAATGTAGCCACGAAATGCCTACCCACATCCACACCATCATCTTCGATGTGTAATGCTTCTGCAACCTCCTCATCACCCATAACAATATATATATATATATTGAAGTAAATAAAATTAATAAATGAGATTAGAATTTTGTAAAAAATTTTCTATTTTTTTATCCGTAAAAGTTTAATTTTTAGCTGTATATCTTAATTATTAATTTTAATTAATTCGATGATCCTAAATCAATATTAAACAAAAGAAATTTATATAACTGGATGTTAAACTATTTCGGTAATTCTTCGATTGTATGACGTTTCCCCCCTCATTTATACACACTGGCTTCGAGACCTTTTTATGCCATTATCTTTGAACCGATATCAGTTTACTGATGGGTCGATATTTGAAAACGGGTCAATATACATCGAGGTCCCAGCTTGTCAACTATTTTGGTTTACAAAACAAAACAAAACATAGCAAGTGCACTCTCCTTCGACACCGTTGATGCTTATGAGACTACTTGCCAGCAGATCTTCTCGCTTTTCGCTCTGCAACCAGTTTCTCAAGCCTGCTAATTCGAGCTTCTAATCCTGGTATGTCGATCACATAGCAAGTGCTTAGCATTTCCTGAACTGGTTGTTCGGGGTTGTCCTCCTTTTCGTGTTCTGCCGTTCTTCCTGATTCTCTCATCAGGACTTCCTCCTGCACCATCTTTAGTTCCCTATGGTCCTTGTGTTAGTGTATGTAAATGCATGGCATATATGTTCACGTGCAGTGCATGATGGTTGTGCAGCTGAGTTTTGGTTCACTGCAACAGATCAAGTAGTTAGTTTGTTGTGGAGTTAGTTACATCAGTTATAGCTATAGTACTAGCTATAAATACTCCCCTTGAGAGTTGTAATACTCACGCTTGATATAATGAATTTCAGAAGATTCATTTCTCTCATTTGTTTTCTTTCTTGTTTACATAGATTAGACAATTGTTTATAATCTTTACATGGTATCAGTTGCCAAAACGGTCCTGCAGTTTCTGTTTGCCTCTTTTCTTGGAGGTTCTTGGAGGTTCTTGCCCTTCTTTGAAGATGGTGGACTTGCAACAAGCTGATGTTCAGTCTCCGGTGAATACCACAGTTACCTCAACGTCATATGGTTCTTCTGTCATATCCAGTGTACAACATATACCCAAACAGGATGTCATAAAGCTTACCGAGGCAACATACCTTCTTTGGAAGCATCAGGTGACCCTTATAATTGATGGCTATGGAATGTTGGCTTACATCTCTGGTGATAATTCTGCTCCATCTCAGTTTGTTACAAATGAGTCTGGGCAGCTTGAGGAAAATCCAGTGTATCTTGTGCATAGGCAACAAGACAAGTTGCTTGCTTCGTGGTTGTTGACAACGGTTAGCATGGAGGTTTTGCCACATCTTACAGGGCTCACGTCCTCTCGCACAATCTGGAATGCAGTTTCAAGATTGTTTGGAGTTCGTTCTAGTGCCAAGATTTCTTCTCTCAGGCACAGTTTGCACTCTCAGAGGAAAGCTGGCTTGACTGTGAGTGATTATTTAGCCAAGATCAAGACAATCTGTGATTTGTTGAATGCTGCAGGTTGTGTTGTACCTGAACAAGAACAAGTAAGTGTGATTCTTGCTGGATTGTCAATGGAATTCGAGTCCATTATTGCTATAGCATCTCGTGATGTAGTGTCACTAGATAATCTCACTGAAATGCTCTTGGATTGTGAGGCTAGGCAGAAAGCTTTTTTAAGCGATGGTATTGCTGCAAATATGGTTGTACAGCCGAAAGAAGAGAATGGGACAAGGTCTCAGGCTGCCACTGAAACAGATGGAACAGAAAAACAGTTTTATTCGGTGAAAGGACAACAGGGAAATCAGTAGGGAGGCTATCGTGGTAGAGGCAGAGGAAGATTTAACAACTCAAATAGACCACAATGTCAGTTGTGTGGAAAGGTTGGGCACATCGTTCAACGGTGTTATCGTCGCTTTGATCAAGATTTCACTGGAATTAGCAGTGAAGATCAGTCTGCTGAGCAGTGGAAGAAACCAGCTGAACAGATAGTTCCTGTGAATGGACATGCGTATAGTCACACGCTGCAATCTCCTGTCTTCTACCACTTTCCATCCAGCTCCATGCATGGTATGCCCTATGCTTTGACTCGTTTCCCTGGGGACTGTGGAACTCATCCTGCAAAAACAGAAGGACAAGAGTCATTTGTTCATACTGCACCTATAGCCTTTGTATCCACTGTGCCTAGTATGGCAGCAGTTTACAGTGCTCCAAACCACTCCAATGCTCTGTGGTATCCAGACACGGGTGCCACTCATCATGTATCAAATGATCTTGTACCGTTCAATTCAGGTATGACATACAAAGGTAACAACACTCTTCTAATGGGTAATGGTCAAGGAATTAAAATTGATCATATTGGTCAAGGCTCTCTGTCCTCTAGCCTCAGACCTCTAGTATTGCAAAATATGCTACATGCCCCACACATTAAGAAGAAATTGCTGTCAGTATCTCAATTCACTCGTGATAACAATGTGTTTATTGAATTTCATCCTTTTGAGTGCTTGGTGAAGGATGCACAGACTCGGAACATTCTGCTGAGAGGGAAGCTCACTCATGAAGGTTTATACCAGCTGCTACCGTATGAAGAGAAGAAATCATGTTGCATGGTGAATAATGTGTCCAAGGCCTCAAGTAGTTTGGAACTTTGGCATAGGCGCTTAGGACACTCCTGTGAGAAGACTGTCAAAGATGTTATGAAAATGTGTAATGTTTCTAGTAGTGAAAACAAATTGAACAATGTTTGTTCTGCATGTTTACAAGGCAAGGCTCACAAGCTACCTTTTTGTAATTCGTTGACTGAATACAAAGAAATTTTTCAGCTGGTTGTGTCAGATGTGTGGGGACATGCTCCTGTAGTTTCAACTGAAGGTTACGTATATTATGTATCATTTATTGATGTGTTCAGCAGACATACCTGGGTGTATCTAATCAGAAAGAAATCTGAAGTCAGCCAGTGTTTTCTTAATCTTGTAAAAATAGCAGAGGTTCAGTTTGGGAAGAAAATCAAAGCATTGCAGAGTGATGGTGGAGGTGAATATCAGGCACTGAAGAGTTGGTTTTTTACCAATGGTGTACAACATCAGATCTCCTGTCCCAGCACGTCAGAACAGAATGGGAAGGCTGAACGAAAACATCGCCACATTATTGAGATGGGACTAGCCATGTTAGCTCAAGCATCACTGCCGATA